GTCTCTTCTGTGCCATGCATTGTGGCGTGAGGCACCATTTGCTGCAGCACATTACATGAAATTTGACAGATCAGTACTGTCATTTAACAGCACAGAAAGCAAACTTCTGATGCGTCCCAAATCTCTGTCTGATGTTTAATTGATATGGTTTTAGAGTCTACACGGAGCTTTTTTTAGCTCTAGCTAATGGCACTAGTTTCGCACTCAAATTTATTTTTTATCAAAAGTTAGACACTAGAACTCATTTTGACACATTTTCACAAAATTTCTCAAATGGGGTGTCCCAACTCAACTACACGTGCCAATAGCCTACACCAACCCTTCGACCACATTCAATGAACTCTTGTAGACTCATGCAACATACCACACACAACCAAAAATACTTGTTTCACAAAATCACTACTCAACCTTAATTTTCACAAAACATAGATGGGAAGGAAAAGTTATACAAAATCAACCATTTCATTCATATTTCTCAAAACCTAATCCTCGGGTTCATAACAAAAACTCACTAACCCACACAAAATACACTAGTTAAATACAAAATCATGTAAGTAGTACTCCAATCATGATACTTTATCCTAGTTGGCAATTACATTGACAATTACACATGTAAACAACTAAAGAGAGACAAAAAGAAGATTTACTCCATAAATCCTAAGTCTCTGTGTGTTTTTCCTCACTTGGATCCGATGAGCTAGTCCTTGAAAATATTGAGAATTGAGAGGTGAGTACAACCACTCAATAACCAAGTTTTACTTAACCTTTACAGTTACATATTAATTATAAATAGATGCAAAAAAGCACATAACACATATATCACATAGTATTGTGCCACGGTCCACAAAAATAACAATCATGTGATTAGGCTTGCCACAAAATACTATATCATGTGGTTTTCAAAAACATAACTCAGGGTCACAAAAATAACAACCATGCACCCTTAATACGTGTCGGACCATAATACTAACAATCATATAGTCGGACTTGTATGCATGATTGTGTGCCAACCTTATATCCTCTTGTTACCTCCAACACAAAACTGGTAGTTATCACGTGGCTACGTTCTTCACAGACTAACTCAGCCTCCTACTTGTAAGAAGTTACTGAATTAGGGTTAATTCTCTCATTTATGTAATTTAGTTTCCTTCAATACTAACAACCATAAGGTGTTATACCCCTAATCTAGCCTTCTCATGAACCAGTGAAGACTAGTTAGATTTAAGTCCCTCATAGAATAAGTGAGACAGTCTCGAATCAACCATGGGACAAGGGCTACCCCCCGATTCCAACGGTCGGCGTCAGGGCTAGTTCCTGATTTTAACAATAACTGCCAATATCACATGAATTTTCAATCAAACTACTCCTCACCCTAGACGAACTCTTATCAATGATCATGCAATGCACATTTCACACATTTTATGCATGTCAACATTCGTTACTCAACACATGACTCACATAACATGTATACTTCATATTTTAATACATAATTCATCAAAATTCTCCACCCATAGTAATAAATTACAATTAATTTCATAAAACATCAAAGGTGATAGAATCAAGGTTTTCTTTCTCAAAACCATTTCATACTCAAGCATTTATCATTATGCATTATCAAATTAACTCACAAATCACATTTTATAACACAATTAATATTTAATTATAAAAATTAAGTTTCCCCCCAATTACCTCAAACCTTTAAGAGGTCAAAAGTTTCCCCCTCACTATATCAACTTTTCCAAGCTTCAACAAGCTCGAAAGGTGCCAAGACGAACCTCTCTACAACCAAATCATAAGGATATCATCATCATCTAGCTCTTCAAGCTCTATCAATACAAAAACTCCTCATATGCTATTTTACCAATTCATAACCACTACCTATCTATACCTAATAGGCTCTTTAGATTCTATTAATGTATATTATCATTAATAACACCTCAAACCATTATCAATGCACATTAACCTCTCCCAACTACCTCATGAATACTAATTTTTCAGATATTAAATACTTTTATGGACCAACCACTTTTAAAATCATCAATGTGATGTTCCAATACATTAAATCACTCCCATTAATCTTATTTTAACTAATGAAATTGGACCCATACTCTTATGAATCAAAAATCCATCTCCCAACTCAAATCCTGCCATAAATAATCATAAATGAGAGAGGGAAGGGAAGAAGGAAGCACCATAATCTTACCTTGGGTATTTGGGAGCTTTAATCTATCCTTAATGGAGCCAAATATCATGCTCTAGCAGAGCTAAAACCAAGATCTTCATTTTTCTCCTCTCTTCCTCTTCTGTTTTCACACAGCTCACAAGCTAATTTATCTTATTTTTGGTCGTTCGCTGTGGCGCACGCTACCCTTCGCAGTGGCACATGGTACAGAGGAGCCTGTTACGTTCAAATTATGTTCGTGGGCCGTGGCAGACCAACCACGCACTGTGGCATGTGGCACAGAACACAACTCTTTACTTTTTCATCTCCTTTCCTTGCCCAGGTGACCCGCCATCGATCCGGACGCACTTCTAGGGTTGAAATTACAATAATTATACCAAGTTAAGCCCCTTTGGCTACACACCTCATTAACTCACTAACTATTCTAATTAAGTTAATAATCTAGGGTTAAAATTTTTCGAATATTACAGCATATAAGGTCCTTTGAAGGAAAATATTTGTTTACAGGCTCAATAAATTTTGATAATCCTTTGCAACCTCAAAGGCTTCATTTGCAATTATTTTTAAAGCTGAAAAGACAAACTACCCTTAGTGAGTTAGAACATTTGTGTTGCACATGTTAATCAAAGTAAATTAACAATAAAAGTTCCATAAATAACCATAAAAGTTCAATTATATATAACAAGAAGTTTGTTTATTCAAATGCATCCATATGGGTTTACACTTGTACTTGAGGAGAAAATTTACAAGTTAACTAAATAAAATTAACAATAGAAGGCCGAACTCATGAAAAAACCAATAGAAGGTTGGTAAATAATAAGAAAAGTCCAATTATTGATAATAAATTCATTTATTCATGAGAATTCATTTGGGTCTATACTTGTACTCAAAAAAATTTACAAGTTAACTAAAGAAAATTAACAATAAAAAGTTCATAAATAATAAGAGAAGCCCAATTATTCATTACAAGAAATCTATTTCTTCATAAGAGTTTATGTGGGTTCATACTTGTAGGAGAAAATTTACAAGTTAATTGAATAAAATTAATAACAAAAGGTTCATGAATAACAAAAAAAAAAAAATCACATTGTTTACAATAAAAGTTCATTTGTTTACATGAATTTATGTGATTTTACACTTGAAACATTTTCACTCATTAAAGGTAATTCGATGATCCTATCAACTTTGAATAATTGCACATTAAGCCTTCGAACAATTAAAGTATTATTAGAATATGTTGAGCTTGCTGAGTAGGGGTGTTCTGCTAATGAGATACTATACACCTCTTTCGTGATTGTCCACATGCTAAGAAATGGTGGACCAAGTATGTATGGCTGGAAATTGCTTTATTGGTTTTTTTCCCATGGAATGTCTCTCTGTTTATACTTGTTGGAACATTTGGAAAGATAGGGGCAGGGCTCTTTTCCAAGCAGGGGAGGAAGATCCTCATTCCTTTCTCTTTAAAGTAGCAACAGATGTCAGGGTTTTTTCCCAAATCACGAATTATCAGGGTCTAAGACATGTGGATCATCCCTCTATTCAAGGAGTTGATAGCATGATGTTGGAGACAGATGGATCCGTTATTGTCAATGGCTATAGTGCATGTGGTGGATTCTTGAGAGATACCACTAGTAATTGGGTTTTAGGCTTTAATTAGAAATTGAATCATGTTTCAATTGGCATTGCTAAAATTTAGGGCATTTTTTATGGTTTGGAATTATGTTGGAAGAAGGGGTTTAGAGATGTGAGGTCTTTTGTGATAGTGAATATGCCATTTTAATTATCACACGGGACAACCATAGTTATCATCCTTTCTATGATATTGTTCAGGTTACGAGGAGACTAATATATAGGAATGGGATTGTTCATTTTTATTTTTTGTATAGAGATGAGAACAAGGTTGCTGACTATTTGGCTGAGTTGACTCATAGTATCCCTTGTGATTTTAAGGGTTGTTGACTATTTGGCTGAGTTGACTCATAGTATCCCTTGTGATTTTAAATTGTATTAGGAAGTTCCACTTTAGGTTTAGTTTTGCTTCCTTAAAGAGTTTCTTTTATGTTTTCCTTCTTGTAGATAGTTCTTCTTAGTTTGTATTTGTTTACATTTTTGTGAATGAAGTTTTCTAGTATTATTAAAAAAAATCTTCTTTGAGGAGGCTTATATGTGACTCCCCTTTTATAAATTTGTGGTCTTAATTTCATTTTTCTTGAATGATCCTAATGTGCTTTTTTTCCCCTTCATTTTTTGACCAGCATGTTTTTTTCCTTTCCTTGATTAAATTTTTTATTTTCTAATTAAGCTATGTCAAAGATATGAAGTACATTAAAATAATTAATTATAATAGAGCAAAAAAATTAAAAATTATTATAACTAACAGAGGTTGGATTTAGTCAAAGAAGTTAGTCACTTACAATAGAATAAAATATACCATTTTAACAACATATTATTTTTAACTTAGATTTAGTTGTTTAATTTTTTTCTTAGTTATACTTCAACAGAGTAGAATATATAAAGGAGAAGAAAAATAAATAAATTTATTTTGATATATTTTTCATTTATATTTAAGTAAATATTTCTTGCTTAATATATATTTGAATTGAGATAAATAGATAAAACCATAATAAAAACAAGTGAACCTTGGTTATCTATTAGCAATAAAAAAAAAGTGAAACTTAGATTAGAGTGGGTTAGAAATATATCAAAAAACAACCAAAGAAATGAGAAAATCTTAAAAAAAAAAAAGAAATTAGGATTATTTACATTTTAAATTTTTATATGGGTCCGGAATTTTGACCAAAAATTTAAAATTCCCTGAAAGAAAAACTAGCTGTCACCTCCCAAGTTAACCAATCATAGGGTCGAAACAACAACGGCATTTTCATTTAGCTTCTTAGTGCCGTTACCTCTTCAAACCTACACGAGAACTCAAATCGCTCAGCAAAGTTTCTTTTATGTTGTTCTCTTTCCCAACCCAAATCCTGAAAATTTTCTTTCACGATATTACAATTCCAGTTTTCCCTCATTCTCTCGGATATTGGCCTGATCGAAGAAGTTACTTTCATACGGACGACTGGCACATGTATAGGTAAGCATCAGCTTTAGTTCCTTATTTCTCTAGATTTCATCTTAGTTTTCTTAATATGGATTTCGTTTGGGTTCAGATCCTTTCCATTGAGGATTCTGTTGTGACTCGACGAGTCTTTCTACAACCAAATCACATTGTACGAAGGACAGAACTTCAACTGATTCTAGCTATTATCTTCATCGTTATTTAGCGATAATTGCCGCTGATTACGTTCACCTTCGGCGGTGCCCTCCATATAAGGAGGGAAAATATGAAGATCAGGAGGGACTAAGGGGAGATTCAGGGCGGGAGAGTGAGAATGAGACGGAGGGAGCCACAAAAGGTGTGATTGTGGAAAATTTTAGAGAGAAACCAGAGACCGAGAATCATATCAGAGTTAAGGTATTTAATCACTTCTAAAAATTGCTATTTGCCTCTGTACTTAAGGTTGTTTGCCAACTATGTATCTGGATCCATTTGCCGCTCAATTGTTTTTTTTGTTGTGATTTCCCTTTCTGTGATTTTTTGTCGATTTGATCAATGGAGAATGGTTCATTTTGGTGTTAAATTCATGTCTGCCTCATACCAAGCCTCGTATGAATGCAAGAAACGGGTTCTTGTCCAATAGAGAAAGCTGATAATCGATTCTGTGATATTGAGTGCGAAAGATGTTTGGTTAAGGAGGCTAATACCTTATGACTTCTTGTTTATTATCATTTGCTGCCAAATTTATAAACACACACATTTTAATCTGTGTCACCTGCCAAATTTGTCTTCAGTTAGTTGTAAAAGTTAAAGTAGATAGGCCACTCTAATCTTGGGCACGAAGTGCATAACCGGAGATTATTTTATCTTCATTGGATGGCTCTCTTGCATTTGCTATTTGTTATGTCCTCACTTTATAGAATAGATTGCATTTGCTTTTTGTTATGTCCTCACTTTATAGAATAGGGAAAACTTGGCAAAAAATTACTTTTTCTAGATTATTAACGGACATGACAATGAGAATGGTCATGTTTGGTTTTCTTCTGTTCTGTTTATTATTCTTGCCACTGCAAGAAGGGATGAATGGATTTTATATAGCAGCACTACTTGCTGATACTGAAAAAGCAAAGCTTACAAAGTTCAGTGGAAGTCAACCAACAAAATTGGTTTCTTCGAGAGACATGTCTGTGCTCCTAATTTGAAATCTTGGTGCATTTTTTTCCTTTCCATGTTACAGGAAGTTTGATAGTTCATGACAATTTCTTCATAAGACATATTTGTGGTTGTGTTCATTCTTTATCTTCCTTGTCATGAATATTAAACGATGCAAGGTTGTGTGTCATTGCAAGCATGTGGTCTAGCTTCCTGCAAGGTAAGTAATGTCATTGGTTGTCTTGTATGTGAATCTACCTTTGGAAACTATGGGATTTCTAATATTTTCCTCAATCATTTTTTAGTTCATCGGTGGGGTTTCTTATCTTATATAATAACTCTATATTATTTGCATTCTTTCTTATTTGTTTTCCATGAATATCATACATTTTATTCAGCTCCTTCCTCAGGAGCTATAGAATCTTAAAATTTTTAAAATCGCTTTCAGCCATTCTCAATTCTCTTTTCTGCTAAAATAAGACACAAGTACTTCATTTTCCTGTCATTCCCATTTCTTGTCCTCATTTTCCTTTTGGGGCCTATGGTGCTCTATTTTATTTTATGAACCTATAATATGCTCCAAGTCACAGATCGTGTAAATTATTGATAAAGTTGAAGTACAGAGAAAACTCCAAACTTGGACATGATGTGCATAACTAGAGATCTATTAGATGTCGCCCTTGCATTTGCCGCTTGTTATGCCCTCACATTATAAAATCAGGAAACCGTGAAGTATTGGTTAACGTTAAAAACTTGAGAAAAAATTTGTGCCCTCATCATTAGCTGAATATGATAAAGAGAGTCATCATATTGGTTTCCTTCCTTTTGATTTTCTATTTCTGTCCAATCATGGAGGGAAGGTAGGAGAACTATGGAATGGTTAAGGTGAAATTTTGTTTGTGTGCTTGTTTATCCCATTCTTTTTCGTTTAGATTGCCCTTGATTTGAAATCTGGGTTTAGTTTTCTCTCCATATAATGGGAAACTTGGCAATTCATGGAAATTTCTCAAAGAGCCTAAATTTATCTCAATCTTTTAAAAAGATTGGATATATTACGTTTGCGTTATGTTGCCTAATGTGGTTGATAGGGAATGCTTGGAAAAACAACACCTAAAAAATTATCTCGAGATTAATGTGAATTGCAACATTAGAATCCATGCTCCCACTATGGCAGCCGCAGGACAGAACTAGCATTGATTTCATGACTTGGAAGGGGGCCAAATTTATAAGGATAAATTACATATAGGTCACATGAGCTGACTTATTTATTATAAAGAGATCATAATTAGGTCTTTGAAGACTTAAGTGTAATTTAAAATTGGGATACAAAGATAATAGTTAAATTAATCATGTGTTACAAGTTTAATATTAATTGTCCACAGCTACCTTATAAGTAATTTACAACCATCACTTCAATATTTTACAATTATAATTTCACATATTTAGTAGTTAAACTGATCATGCATTACTAAAAGAATTTAATACTTCATTATTAATTATTTACAACTACTTCATTAGTAATTTATAATTATAATTTTATATATCCAATAACTAAACTGAACATGTATTACATGTAAGGATAATATTGTCATTGCACCCTAATTTTAAATCACATTCAGGTTTTAAAGAACGTGGTTGTATTTTTTAAATTTTATGGGATTTATTTGCAAGACTTATACGTAATTTTCCCAATTTATAAACATAATGCTTGTTAATTATATTTTGAAAAACTATAATTTTAGGTCTTTGCACTTTTTTTTTACTTTTTAAATCCTTATACTTTTGTTTTTCAATGTTTTAGGTTCTTTCATGAATAAAGTGTAGGGATCTTGAAGGAACTTAAAACACAATAAAAAATGTGAGGATCAGTAGGAAGAGCAAAGTGTAGGAATTTAAAGTTATATTTTTTCTTATATTTTTTAAAAATAATCTTATTATCTAAAAGTTTATAAGATACTCCCTCCTTTAAAAAATGTAAGGCATTTTTAATGAATTTTAAATTTCAATAAAGTGGTTACCTACTTTTTAACTAATCTTATTTTTTCATATTTACTCCTATTAAATACTCTATAATAAATATGAAGTCATTATTAATATGGGCACTTTTAGAATGAAATAATTACACATTAAAAGATTAAAAATGCCTTATATTTTTGAACATCCAACTTTTTAAAAAATGCCTCACATTTTTGAACGGAGGGAGTAATAATTATCTATAATTATAAAAAAACTAAAAAAATATTTAAAGTAAAATATATATTTTAATATATTAGTTTTAAAAATATAAATAACATATAATACAAATATATTATTGAATTTTTTTTAAATAAGCTTATTTTATTTATACTTTGTTAAGAAAAAAGTCAGTTGAAAACATTATTAATATTTTAAAAATTTGTACATGTACTCTTATTAATTGTCATATATATATATATATATAAGTACTTTAATTATAATAATTAAAATTCTAATGGACTATTTTTTAAAAGAAATAATAAATAAATGGTATAGTTGTTATTAGGAGGGATTAATGCACTAACAAAATAAGATATTATGCATAGGAGGGAGTATCTATTCAATTCATGTATAAGGGGACAAAAACTCCATTGGCATGGCAATCTATATTTATGACATGTACAAGATGGGGGAGAGGGCTGCCTTAAACTATGCCTAGGTCTACCCCTAATTATGAAAGTAGGGGGTTACATTATATTTTAGCTCCTTAATTAATAGTAAATTTTGGGATGAGTGGGTGTCATGTATTTTTTTTTTTGATAAATGAGCAAATATTATAGTCAAAACATACAAGGAAATTTCAAATAAAACACTTGACTGTCAAGACAAGTGTAACAGTTTGGAACTTCAAAATGGAAAATGCATAAATTAATTACAAGAAAGGTTCTGAGAAAAGATAAAACATCCTTGGAAATAATAGAGGAGACATCAAATTAAAGCTTGAAGATCATTTTCCTAATGCATGCAATGGTAAGGGGTTAGGAGAACATTATCTTGTCTGAAATTCTTGATCCAAAATATAATCCCATAAAGGCATTTGAGATGAAGATTGTGTTTAGTTGCTGGCATTAAGGAAGAGAGAATCTAAGTAAAAGATGTAATAATCTGGCCTTATAAGATGATCTTGAGTATCGCTTTGTTTCCTTTTAGTTGAAGAGTAGAGAATAAGCCATCCATTCAAATTTTTGAGATTAGATGGGTTTGTGCACTGTGAAACTAAAGATAGATCCAATGATGCTTTCATTTCCTCTTGATTATGGCAGAGCTGGGATGTGAAAAAAATCTGGTGGTTTAATTTTTGAATTATCATTTAGGTATCTGGGTTTTTTCCTAAATGTAAAGAGTTGTTCCTTTTTTCTAGATTGAGTGAAGAAGGTAGATAAACTTGATGAGGATGTCTTCTTGTTTCTCTTTGAGGAATGACTCCATTAATGTTTGCAGGTCAGAGAGGGATGCAGATGAGTTAGGTGAAAGATTTGTGGTATGACAAGCAAGGAAACCAAACCGTATAGTAGCAAAATGGCATGAAAGGAAAATATGGTCAATTGATTCTTCCTGGTCATATCTAAAAACACAAAGTTGCTTGATTGGTGAGTAATGGGCATTAAGGATATCTTGGGAGGGAATGGATTTATTGAGAATTTTCCAAGTTAAAAAAGTGTACTTATGAGGAATTTTGAGCTTTCAATAGGCTAAGAATGGTGCAAGTTACGAAAACCTTCTTTAACTTTATAACAACCAGATGAATGATCTATCCAAACTAGTTTGTCCTTTAGACCCCGTGTAGGACATAGGGACATGAGCAAGATTGGTCTATAAAAGGGATTTAGAAAGAGTATTATTCCAAACAAGTGGAAAGTAAGGGTTGCTAGCAAGAGTGAGAAGGTCAGAAACTTTGAGGTTATTGAAATCTAGCTTTTGAATCAAGGGGAATGATCCAAGTTAGAAAGAACGGGTGTCATGTTGATGCCTCACCTTTTAGTAGGTAAAAATGTGGTCTTATTGCATGACATCCTCCTGATAGTGTGCATTACCTCAACGCCTATCCTAATGTTGAGAGTTTCTCATGTGATGTCATCCTCTACTACAAAAAAGCTTATGAAAGCATTTAATTTTATCTTGAGCATTTGGAAGTGCTTATAGGGCTATGTAATTTTTTTAAAAAAAAATTGATATTTTACATATCCTTCTTATAGCTTATTTACAAATGACTAATCCAGTAATAATTCACCAGCCATATACAAAACTTTTAATACATGTATATTGACTAATACAAAACTTGTTATTCAATTCAAATGATTCAAAATAAATTTGTATAATTTTTTTTAAGCACATGTACTCTAACAAATTAAACAACATTTTTCTAACACGTTTGCTCTAACACTACATATATCAAAACACTTGAAGTTGCCTCACAATCAACCCATTACTTATTCAATAATATTATCAAGTTGTTCCATGGATAAACTCTTGCACCTTGCATCCACATAATATTACAAGAGAAAGTGACTTATAATTAATTATAGTTGTTATATTGAATAAATGAATTATAAATCTCAAAACACCTACTTTTTGAGGATTCTTGATGTGTGATAACATCTTTCATAAACTTTATCACATAATATGCACACTCCTAACTATGTTTAAAACAAGTCAATGTCCAAATGTGGTTAAAACCAAAATTCAACTAACATGTAATAGATAAATGAAAACCAGTGATTAAAGTTGAAGTTATATATTTAATTCTGCACAAATATGCAAAAATTCAGCAAAGTCTGCCTTAGAACTTGGACATCCTAGAAATTCAACTACAAATCAAAACAACATTTTTAGAATAACAAATTTAAAATATCAATCAAACCATTAGGTAGATATATACCAACTTGCTTTATTAAACAAATAATACATGCCTTTATTTTTACCTACTTATGCTAATTAGTAGGGTTTTTTTTGGGTATTTGGAAGAAGACATTCACTGCCTCAAAAAAGTTCCATGGCCTTAACAAAATAAAACATACAAGTTGAAATTATACTTGATTGTTATACTATAATTGTATAAAGAATACAATACCTATATTGGCATAATGAGACAATACTTATAAGTACCCAATATTGGTGTAATGAGACAAGATAGTACCCACCTCTTCAAGATTTGTAATTTTCAAGATAGTACCTAATGTTGGTAGAGTTGGATTGGTACATGTAAGGTGTTATTGAAATTGGCCCTATCCCAAGCAAACTTCACTTCTCGTTTTAGGGGTAAACCACTTACTTCCTTAAGAAGTACTTTTGAAAATTTTTTACTATTGGGATATTTGCAATGCTTTCCTTTACTATTACTTGAATAGAAAAGAAAACCATATACTTAGCCTTGATATCCTTTCTTTAAGTATCTCTTAGTTTGGGCTATAGTCATAAGATTTACCTTAATCTTAGTACATAGAATCGTTTCACAGGAGGGAAAAACAATAGTTTTATTCTTATAGTCAAGAAGAACATGATTCGAAGACAACTAATTAAGTCCAATAAGAATATCATGGAAGGGCAAACATATAAGATCTAGTGTGGTATAACAATGTTCATATTGAACTATATACAACATGAACTCTAATAGAAGTAGAAACCTTAGGTCATAAGGTAATTCACTTATATGGTAAGACCTAATTGCCTAAAATAGTCATATAATATGAACAAATGGCTTGTGCTTGAATCAAACATTGAATTAACAAGATAATTATTTATCTTAATCATACCTTAGATTATTTTAGGTGATCGTCATTCCCCATTTTGTGCCAAAGTAAAAACCCTTTCTTGAGTTTTGGGTCTGAAGCCTTCCATCTCCTATTTGCATTCATGGGCATAATGTCCTAATTTACCATATTGATAACAAACATTTTGCCCTACAAAACATAGTCTATTACCATGATTTTTCCATATTGGATGTGTTCTATTATTTTTGCAAAGTTCCATTGCATTAACTTTTTTTCTCCTACTTCTTGAATTTCTTTCCATGGCTTCTTTTTGTTTCTTCGTTGAAATTTCCTTCTTTCCACTAAAATTTCCTTTTTCCATATTGGATGCATTCTATTATTTTTTGCAAAGCCCCAGCCTTAGCATTCTTAGGGATTTCTTTATGTATATTTTGATAGTTCATAATACTTTTAATGACTCTACAGACTTCCAGTATTGTGTTAAAAGTCTAAATTTGCATTGAAGCTACCTTTTCCCTTAAAGTTGGCTTCAATCCTCTCACAAATTTCTCTATATTCCACCTCTCATCATTGATCTATTATAGATATGTGGGATAGCGAGACAATTGAATATGCTTGGCTAGGTACTCAAAGCGATTCATCTTTAGCTTGCTCTAGAGTTAGGAATTCAACTTCTTTATCATCTCTCACGATAGTGAGAAATATTTTTCATACTATTGCTCCAAGGATACCCCCAAGTAAGGAGAGTACTCCTAGCTCAAAGAACAAGCTCAATATTCTTCCACCATTTATTAGCATATTTCTCTAACATATAAATACCCATATGTGCTCTCTTATCTAAGCCAATAACAAGCTTGTATATCAAATGTTCCATTTAAAGTTGGTAGGTGAAGTTTATAGACAGAATCTAGTAATCCGCTGTGCATTATCTAATTCCACTATATGATCTAATTGGATAGGTGGTGGAACATGTGGAGGTCGATTTGGTTGGACTAGTGGTGGATTACTAGTTGTTATTGTTGCCTCTCTTTCTCTATCCCATCTTATCTGTGTTTCCTTGATTTATTCCATCATATGTTGATGCTCATCTAAGTGATTCATGATTTTCTATAAAGGATCAATAAGGGGTCTTTCTTCATTTCCTAAATTTCATGATGTTGCTCTTGACATTTGATGGGCCATTTTTTTCCTTTAGCTTGAGAATAGATTTCTTTAACATTAAACACAATTCCTAAATTATATGTTATTTTTATGATTTGGCTAATTGCACAAGATACAAGAAATACACACAACAAGCCATAATATCAAAAGTCATTATAGAGATTCTAGTTAAGGTAAACTAATTTATAATAAAAGTAATACACAAATATTTACAAGCATAACTTAGTCGTATGTGTTTGTGTGTATATATAGGGATAATGATAATTAGGTCATAAAGCACTGAATTTCTTAAATATTAATTCAAATAGTTACAAACAAAATTTTTTGTTACAATCTAATAGTTACATTTGATAATTAAATACTAATTTGTAATTGAAATTCTTAGATTTGTAATCATTTTGATTGATTTTTTAACTTATTTTTTTAAATTTATTAGGAATTTAACTGTCATTAATTCAGAACTTTAGGACTTAATTGCCATTCTCCTATATATATGTACATATATATACACACATACGTGTGCGCACGCGTGTAATAAAAAAGAACTAAAATAATGCTAGAGCAATTGTAACCCCCACAATCTAGAAGAAGGGTATGGAACAAGAATTTAAAATAGTGTCAGAATGGCAGTAGTTTGCATAGTCTAGACAAAGATAGAAACTAAAGTGTGAGAAAATAAATGTAAAAGTACAAGAAAGTAGAAGAAGGTTAATAGAATTTATTGAAAAGGATGAAAAAGGAGGCTCCCAAAGAGGACACTCTCTCTGGACCTCACATTCTCTCTATATATAGACTTTGGAAAAATATCTAATGGTCAAGATTTGTTTAATATAACGGTTTATATTGCATCTAACTATCTTCATCTAACGATCAGCAACTTGCCATCTAGTCAGCATTCGACATTTAATAATGGTTAATGGTCAACAGTCAAACAGTCACTAACTGGCCATCTGGTCAGCATTCAACACTTAACAATGGTTAATGGTCAATATTCAAACAGTTAATAGTCAAATACTTCTTCTTCTTCTTGTTTTTAAATAATTTTTTAAGGCATTTTGCAAGGTCAATTTCAAAGCAATCATCTTCGTTTTCTTCTGTATAATCTTCTTCCTCTAGAGCTTCTAAAGTAGAAGTAGAGGTAGAGGTAGAGGCATCAATCTATCCTTCTTTCTCTAATAAAAAAGAGTGCACTTTTGAATTGGTTAATAAAAGGCTATTTGTCTAAGGTTGAAGCCAAGCATGCATGGATTTGGCTTTTCTGGTTGAGAAGCTTATTGGTTTCTAAGGTTATGAGCTATTAGGGATTCCTTTTGAACCATGATTGGACATCAAAGACATTAGTTGTCGGCTATGTATAGAATCCTTTAGAGAATAGAGTATCCACTGGGTGAATTGGTATATTTATAATGCTAAGCAAATATCCATGCTAAAGATAGTTTAGAAGAACTAAAAAGGAATCATCTACAAGATTAATTTTAGATTTAAAGGTTGAAAATCCTTGTGTAAATAGCAGAAGGTAGAATTTCTTTAGTAAATCCAAAGTAATCCTACCATTTAATGAATTACTGGGGAAACTTATAAGGATTACAATCCTTTTTAAACCAAAGGAACCATGTGTGACACTGATATTTGTTTTGGTACCATGACATATTGTACCAAGCATCAATATAATCCTAATAGTTATGTCCTGTTAGGTTACTTTGAACTAATGAGATATAATTATTGGGATTTAGCCCTAATCAGTGAGAATAAGAGCCTTTTTCAAATTTTAATATAGAATAGGTCTAAATAAATAGGTCTTTTATCCCATCCCTTTTTTCAAGGTTGTCTCAAGGTTATGACTCAGTATTTATTAAGATAAGTTCATAACATTGTTGGGTCTTATTCAAGATTGAGGGCTTGAAGTGGAAGCCTAGAGGAAAGATTTATGAGGCTACATGATTTAGATTTTTATGAAAAAAATTAGGTTTAATTTGGACAATGTATGTTACTTTATCAACCTATGGGATATAATTGGTTTTAGTTCTTTGAATTGGTTGAAGTAACTCGGCCACCTGTTTATTTTTCAGATTGATAACAATAACTGTTTATTTATGAGGTTTTTAATGAGTTGGGAGGGGTTTTCAAATTTTTATCTGAATCTTCTTCCTCAACAATGTCTGCCCATGTTTGCTGAGGTAGATAGGTTAATCCTTGAGAAGCTTGAATAGTTTCAATTGGGAAGGCATAAGGCTGTTTAGGCAATTGATTTAAAAGAGGTTGGTA